CCCCTCAGTGAGTTTTATTCTACTCAGATTTGTGTGGTCATTAGCACAGTTAAGCTTAGAACATTTTCATTACTCCCAAAAGAAACGTCTTTAGCAAATACTTCCCCTTCCAATTTCCCTCAACATCCCCCATCCTTAGGCAACTGCTCATTTACTTTCTGTTTATATAAATTTGCTTATTTGGGGCATTGCATATAAATAGATTCATATACTATGCAGCTAGCCACTCCTGGTCTCAGCCTTATCTCTCAGCTGGACCCCAGCCCAGGCTCACACTGGCTTCCCTGCTTCCTCTAATCGTGTGTCCTGGATTGGTACCACCATTCATGCAAGTTAGAAGAATCTGATATCATTCATAAATTCTCCCTTTCTTTCTTGATTTCTATATAATTTTCCACTAAGCCTATTTCTCTTCCTTTAATATTTATTGGACAACTGCATATCCCCACGGCTATTGATGATTCACTTCATTCCTGTTTATGCCCTGGGCGATTACAGTAGCCTCTTGTTGACTTGTTTTTAATCTCTTCGACCCTTTTTCCATTCTCCACATTGCTTCTATTTGTCTTTGCAAGGTCTGTATCCAATCACATGGGTTTCGGGTTTATTTTCCCTCAGTGCACACAAACCAGACTTCTCACAGGCTTATAGAGTTCACTGGGTTTTTGTTTTGTTTTATTTTGTTTTCCTCCCTCCATCTAAATCTCTACTCTTCTCTCTGGACAACCTTGGACCTATAGGACAAAACCACATGCTACTCTTTTACACCGCTGTCTGCTTGAATAAGCTATTTCTTCTGCCTTAAGCTGCTTTTTCTCTGCCTGGTGAACTCCTAAACATTCTACCAAGCTTCATTTAAATGGCCCCTTCTGATGAACCTCTTCTGATGCTGTCTTCAGACATTTTGGTCATTCCTTCCTCTCTAGTTCCATTCAGTTATAACACACTCAGTGAGTACCTGGGCCTCTCTGTGTGCTCATAAGTTGTTTCCACTTCTGTCTACCTTTCATGCTATTAACACTTCCAAAGGAAGAATTTTGTCTTATAGTTTTAGTTTCCCTGATTGTCTTATGATTTTCTAGGTACCCAGTTGGTACTTACTGACATGAGATATTTTCCTATATAATAACTGATGATTGTTCTGTATTGTTGTTGTTCATTTATCTAGCCTGAGAACTCTTTGATCTACCTTACTGTCTTACTAAGTATGTATTATTTGGCATTTCATTTCAGATGTGAGATGGAAAAACAAATTCTGGGGTAAATCCATGGAAATTGTTCCTATTGGCACAACCCATGTGACTCTGCCAGCGTAAGTTGTTCTTTTGTGATTAGGAACTTTCTAGAAATTAGGGCCAAGAACCCACTTTAGGGATAGGATGCCTGCCAACCCTATAGCAATGAGAGTATGATTTTTCTTTTAATCTGTTTGACAGTGAGTTCAGATATTTCTCATTTGGGCAGTCTCATTTTTTTCTTTCCCTCAAGAAGAAACGCCTCTTGCAGAACAGGTTTCTCTGAATAGATGCTTTTTAAAAATTCACTTCTACCCTCTAACAAGGTTAAGAATGGTAGTTTTCTTTAACATTGTTGTCTTGCCTCACTGTCAAAAATTCCTTTTTAGAAAGACATGGTCTTAAAAAAAAAGAAAGAGACATAGTGTCAATCTTGCAGAGATTATTGATACTTATTTATAAAGCAAAATGAGTATGACCAGGGGTTATGGAACCAGGCTGCATCAATTCCCATGCCCTCTCTGCCCCTTGCTCATGGTGGTCCTCCAACAGGCTGCTGCCTTCCTTTAACGTCAGCAGCTCCTTCACTTGCAACATGGAGACAACAAACCACCTTCTTCAAAGGGCAGTTGTGAAGATTCAATAGATAATATATGTAAAGCGCTTAAAATAGTACTTGGCACATAGCAAGTGCCACCCAAGTGTTTTTTTTTTCTTATTACTGTCTCTTCATAGTTATTGTTTAATTCCATAAGTAAAATCAGAGTGTTCTCTCATTGTATAAGATATAAATAATAGATGAGTAGCAAATTGTGTAAGACTCCTGTACCTTCCTCCTGCCTTCTTCCCTGTCCTGGATCAATAACTTTACACAGGCTGTTCCTGGCTCTGAGCTGCCTCCTTCATCAGAGGAGGGAGCAGGAGACTCCAGGAAACCACAGCTTCTAGCAAAGTCCCTGGTGGCTTCCAGAGTGCTGTATGGCAGAAGCTCCTCCTTGAAGAGCAGACACTCAGAGTGCCCGCTTGGCACAGTCGGTGTGAGGTTCCCCCAGTGAAGGGATGAGTGACACTCTGCCAGACTTAGTCTGTAATGCAGCCAGTGTTTGTATCTGCTGCTGCCTCCTCTGGGAACCATTACTGCTTCTCTTCCCTCCTTTCTAGTTTTGGAGATCATTTTGAGTGGAACAAAGTGACCTCTTGCATCCACAACATCTTAAGTGGACAGAGGTGGATTGAGCACTATGGAGAGATCGTCATCAAGAACCTGAATGATGATTCCTGCCACTGCAAAGTGAATTTCATAAAGGTAATTCAGGGGTGGGGGGCTCTCTGAACATTGACCCTGGAAGGGCTGTGGCAGAGCTGGTGCCTCAGGACAAAGGGCATCTGAGGCATTTGTCACCTTCACCTCTGTGCCAACACATAATCAGAGCCAGAGGCTGCCCAACCACAGCCCCACCTTTGTTTGTCACCTGGACAAGGGCCAAGGCCTGTCCTATCTTCTTTCCTTCCACCCTTACTCTCCTGTGATCTGTCCTCAGCACAAAGCCAGAGAATGCCTTTTAGAATACGTCATCACGCCCCAACGTGGGTGCACCTTGAAGACTTTATCCTACATGAAATAAGCCAGACACAAAAGGACACATACTGCAGGTTCCAGTCACTTGAGGTCCCTCAAGGAGTCAAATCGGAGAGACAAAAAGCAGACTGGTGGCTGCCAGGGGCTGGTGCAGGGAGGAATAGGGAGTTATTTAATGGAGATGAAACGTTCTGGAAATAGTGGTGACAGCTGCACCACATTGCAAGTGTGTCATACCACTGATCTATACACTTGGAAATGGCTACATGGGAAGTTTTGTGTTTGTATGTTTTACCATAAGAAAAGTCATGCTATATCAGTCCTTTGAGCAAAATCCTCCAGCAATTTCCATCTGCATCCTTACCACGGCCCACGGGGTGCTGCACAGTCTGCACTCCCTATCCTCAGCCCTGTGCACATTCACTTGCACATGTGCATGCATGACACACACACTCATATATACACACCACCCTCACCCCTTTCCAACCTCCGCTCCTACTACCATCTCGTCCTTCCTCTCCATCATTGGGCCACTCTGCCTTCTCTCTTTCCTCAATTCCTTCTTCCTGGGCTGCTCCACCCAGACCCTGATATCACGACCCAACCTGCCGGTCACTCTCTTTCTCAACCCATTTTCTTCACAGCTTTTGTTACCATCTGAAATTGCTCTTGTTTTGTTTTCCTACTCTTCATACCCTTCTCACCATCCTCTACAAGAGAAAAAAACTGGGTCCATCTTATCATCTCTGCTGCCTGGAACTGGTGAGTGCCTGGCACACAGCAGAGGTCCATCATACTCAGAGAATAAGTGGAAAGATTGGTCAGATTTTTTTAAAGACATATAGAATAGTCTTTTTATCTTTCAACTGCTTTGATTTGAGGTTTCCCTCCATAGTCTCTCCCTCCTTGAATCCTTCTTGCCCTTGAAAATCTTTTGCACTTAAAATGGCTTTAAAGCATTATCCTCCTCAATGAATATTTGCATTTAACTAAGATCAAAATCATGAGCTGAGTGATGAGGTTCCAGTTGTGGAATTTCACACAATACCTCTCTCTCTGCTCTACCTGTAACCCGTAGGGGACACTTATGATAAGATTGATTAGAGTCTTTATGATATTCTGTAAGTCAAATTGGGTTATAGAAAGACATAAAGCTGGTAATGACCTTATATTTGGGGAGAAATAAAAAGGACCCTATCTTGAAAGCTTCACCTAAGCTCTCTGCAAAAAAGAATCAAAAGGCAACCTGGAGCAGGAGTATATTACCTCTTGTCCAATGCAAGATCTGGGTCGCCCAATTCTGAATATTTTCCCCAAGGAAATATGCTCAACTCCAACATCTACCATCCACCTTGTTCTCATCCACTTTGGTAGTTATGAGAAATGAACACTGGACCTGCCTCCAGTGCTGAAAGAGAACCTGATGCTGGTTACCTATGGAGTATGGCTGGGCCCCTCTGTGGCCTCCCATTGAATTGGCAGCATTGGATCTGTTGGCAAATATCTCTAGGAGAAAATCTGACCTTTGCTTCATAATCAACTTAAGAACTTAAGGACAGTTGTCCCCCCGCCCCCCGCACCACCTCCATTTTTGTGTGACTGGAGAACTCATTTTTAAAGTTTGGATTTGCCTCTGAGATGCTGTTACACCCTGCCCTTCCTTCCCATTTTTACCACAGCCTGGGAATGGAGAAACTGAACCACCAGAATATGGCCTGAAAATGCCACTCAACTTTATTGGTTTCCAAATGTGGATTCTGTTTTCAGCTGAAAATAGTGCTGGGATTTTTGATTTATGGAGAAATGCCTTCTGTTCTTTCATGGAGATTTTAAAGGGCAGCCAGGTAGTTGGGAAGAATTGAAAAAAAATCAACTCTAGGGAGTTGGAGCTCCCTCTTCTGGTTGGAGTGTGGTACTGTACAAAACCCACAAGACGGAGCTGAACTGGGCTGGGGCTGAGCTGGAATGAATGGAGCGCGAGGCTGCATCAGTCACTGACGGCAACCAATACACAGAGAAAACGTGGGTTGTGCACGTTCCTGTGATCTGAACGAGCAGTGCTAATTTTGGGGAAAAATAATAAACTGCAAATGTAAGCAACATTATCCTTGATTGGTTTGCAAATAACTACTTCCTTTAAGGAAAAAAATATGAGTTACAAATTTATTTCTTCTAAATTGTAGTATTCAGATGCATAGTGCCCT